CCTCCCACTGAGCAGGGATCCCCGACACAGGGCTCAATCCCAGGACCCTGAGATCATGACCCAAGCTGAAGGCAGACGCTTAACGACTGAGCCACCCAAGCACCCCTAAAATAAATAAATCTTTAAAACACACACACACAAAGGTGTTTAGAAGAGTGTCCAGCTCATATTAAGTGCTGTATCAGTATTAGCCACCATCATCACTTTAATATATTTCTCTATTAGAAACATACCCATTACTACCTTTTTTAGTATCAACTAAAAATGTCTTGACTTTTTTAATTTTTTTTAAAAAGTATGCAACTTTTTTTTCCAAGATTTATTTGAGAGAGAGAGAGAGAGAGAGAAAGCACAAGCCAGGGAGAGAGGGAGAAGTAGACTTCCCAGTGAGCAGTGAGCCTGATGCCAGGCTTGATCCCAGGACCCTGGGATCATGACCTGAGCTGGAGGCAGCCACTTAACTGAGCCACCCAGGCACCCCACCTTTTTTTTTAAGATTTATTTATTTATTTGAGAGAGAACAAGCATGCGAGCTAGGGGGAGGGGCAGAGGGAGAAAGTCTTCAAGCAGACTCCCCGCTGATGTGGAGCCCAATGCAGGGCTCGATCCCACAACCCATGAGATCATGACCTGAGCTGAAACCAAGAGCTGGATGTTTAACCAACTGAGCCACCCAGGCGCCCCTAAAATCTTGACTTTTTAATATAAAATGGTCTTTTAGAGGAAGTTAAAATAAAAACCAAAACAAGGGACTACTCATGGGTAGTAATTACCTAAAATCACTTAGTTGAGAAAGACTCTGAAATCTCATCTATGTTTAAAAGTAAAGAGTTCCAAGACTGATTAGTTTTGTCTGTCACAAACAAGAAGGGGGGTTTAGTGGTGGCAATAATTACTTGTTATGCCACATCTACACGCTGCTTGCGTACACTTTAAAGAATACTACATAATATGTTATAATAGTACATAAGAGCAAAAAAGTCTGAATTTTAAAATTCAGAAAATGTGTTTCTAAAAGCACAATAATGGATGCCTGGGTGGCTCAGTGGCGTAAGCGTCTGCCTTCGGCTCAGGTCATGATCCCGGGGTCCTGGGATGGAGCCCCACATCAAACACCCTGCTCAGGAGGGAGTTTGCTTCTCCCTCTCCCCATGCTCATGCTCACACACACTCTCACGCTCTCTTGCTGGCTCAAAAAAATAAAATCTCTAAATAAATAATAAAATAAAGGCATAATAAAGTCAACTGATTAGTAATATCCATAATTTGCCTAAATATTTTAATACTTTAATTACTGTCCAAGTTATCTGCCTAAATCAGATAAAATGTGAAAAGTCTTGAGGAAAAAAATTATAATAATTATAAAACCTAACATTTACATAGTGTTTAACATATGCCAGGCACTGTTCTAAACTTTTTACATATACTAACAACTCTAATCCTTACAACAACCCTAGAAGTAGGTACCATTATTCTCATTTTTTAGATAAGGAAACTGAGGCACAAAATGTTTAAGTACTATGGCCAAATTCACACAGCCCATAAATCTGAAGCAGTCTGGTTTCCACTGTGTATCCTGAGTGACAGAGATATAATACCATATATGGAATTTCACGTGGCTTTAGATTCCATAACTTTCCACAATCACTCAAAGAGAAAAAAAACTGCCCTGCCCTAGGCATCCAGTTTCCATCATGAGACTATGGAATAAATAAAAGGGAGAAATCTGAATATGAACCTCTGACCAGCAAACAGTAACCACTGCCAATAGTTCAACTAAAAGTTTAAATTCGGTGTGTTAAAGACAGTTTAGGAATATCAACGTCAAATACATAAAAGTATGTGTTTTACAAAGGCAGTTAAGACTTTTACACCAGTAAAAGTGGTATTACCCTTAAGCAACTTTCTTCTTAAATCTTTTGGACACTGACTCTTTATAAAACTAATATTTTTCTCCCTGCTTTAGTTATACTAAGAAGCTCATATGGCCCTTCTCTAAGAACCTTACAAAATATACTTTTTGTATCTGAATCTAACTCCAGCTTTTCCTTTGGCCTAATTTATGCATCTAATCACTTTTAATCCTGTTATATAGATGTATCTCAAACACGGTGAACAAGACAGGATTTATAGGGACACCTGGGTGGCTCAGTCAGTTAAGTATCTGCCTTCCACCAAGGTCATGATCCCAAGGTCCTGGGATCAAGCCCCATGTGGGGCTCCCTGCTCAACAGGGGAGTCGGCTGTTCCCTCTCCCTCTGCCCCTGCTCATGTGCTCTCTCTCTCATGCTCTCTCTCAAATAAAATTATTTTTAAAAAAAAGATTGAGGATTTATAAATAAATTTGATACACACACACACACAAACCTAAAGACCACAAAAAATGTTACACAAAAGAAAAAACATATTATCTGTTAATCAGGATCCTTCAATACATTCTAAACGGTACACTCACATAAGGGAAAAGACTATCTGGTTAAAAACTGGGGTTTGAGTAGATAGATTTATTTCTATGCCAAAATATTTTTAAATATTATTTGAAACCAGTTTAAAATAGGTAAATAGTAGGCCATTCCATTCTCACCAGCGTTAATGAAGCAACTCTTAAAATCTGGTCCAGGCTCTCTCTCCAATAAATAAATAAAATTAAAAAAAAAATAAAAAAGAAGGGGGAACTGGGACCTGGGTCCTGGGTAGCTCAGTCCGTTAAGCAACTGCCTTCGGCTCACGTCATGATCCCGAGGGTCCTGGGATGGACCCCTGCATCAGGCTCCCTGCTCAGAGGGGAGTCTGCTTCTCTCTTCCTAACCCTCCTGCCCCTCCCCCTGCTCATGCTCGCACTCATGCTCACGTGCTCTTTCTCTCTCTCAAGTAAATAAATAAAATTAAAAAAAATATATATGATCCAGGATCCCTAGAGACTCAAACCCTTTCAGGTTTCTGAAGTTAAAAACTACTTTCATAAGATTTTATTCCCCTTTTCACTCTCATTCTCTCATGAGTACATGGTGTAGTTTTCAAGAAGCTACATGAAGTGATGTGATAACGTTATCACCCTGACAGCTAACAATGTGTGCCTGATATTCTTGTATTCAAAAAAAGTTTTAATTTCTAACATGGTAAATACTGATAGCTATAACTCACAAAAACTCTTCAGGTCCTCAGTAAAGGGGTCCTGAGAACAAAATGTTTGAGAACTTCTGGTTTAAACTATGAATGAATTTGCAGTTTTCAAATCAAGCTCATTCGCTAGTTTTTAAGAGCAGAAAAAAAACTGTAAAAAGTAATTTTGGAAAAATGATCTAGCATATGCAAGAAATTATTCTTACAGAAAACATACTGAATTAAAGTTTAAAAAGTAACATAATATACTGAATTAAATAAAAAGTTTAAAAATTAACAGTGTTAACAGAATTAAAAAAGAGGGGCGCCTGGGTGGCTCAGTTGTTAAGCATCTGCCTTTGGCTCAGGTCAAGATCCCAGGTCCTGGGATCAAGCCCCGCATCAGGCTCCCTGCTCGGCGGGAAGCCTGCTTCTCCCTCTCCCACTCTCCCTGCTTGTGTTCCTGCTCTTGCTATCTCTCTCTCTCTGTCAAATAAATAAATAAAATCTTTAAAAAAAAAAACATAAAATGCTTTAATCCAAGCACTACTTTAAAAAAATTAAGGGAACCACTTCACACCAGTCAGAATGACTAAAATTAACAAGTCAGCAAACAACAAATGTTGGCGAGGATGCGGAGAAGGGGGAACTCTCTTACACTGCTGGTGGGAATCAAATTGGTGCAGCCACTCTGGAAAACAGTATGGAGGTCTCTCAAAAAGGTAAAAATAGAGCTACCCTACGTCCTAGCAATTGCACTACTGGGTATTTATCCCAAAGATACAAATGTAGAGATCCGAAGGGGTACCTGCACCCCAATGCTTATAGCAGCAATGTCCACTATTGTGGCCAAACTATGGAAAGAGCCAAGATGTCCATCGACAGATGAATGGATAAATAAGACGTGGTGTATATATATATATACATATATGTATATATATATATATATACACATACGTGTGTGTGTATGTATACACACACACACACACACTAGAATATTACTCAGCCATCAAAAAAAAAAAAGAGGCGCCTGGGCGACTCTGTGCGTTGAGCAACTGCCTGCGGCTCAGGTCACGATCTCAGGGTCCTGGGATCAAGCCCCGCATCAGAATCCTTGCTCAGCAGGGAGCCTGCTTCTCCCTCTGCCTCTCCCCCTGCTTGTGTTCTCTCTCTCTCTGTCAAACAAATAAATTAAAATCTTAAAAAAAAAATGAAATCTTGCCATTTCCTACGACGTGGATGCAACTAAAGGGTATTATGCTAAGCAAAATAAGTCAACCAGAGAAAGACAATTATCATATGATCTCATCCATATGTGGAATTTAAGAAACAAAACAGAGGAGCATAGGGAAAGGGGGGGAAAAATAAAACAAAATGAAATCAGAGAGGGAGACAAACCGTAAGAGACAACTTAATTACAGGAAACAAACTGAGGGTTGCTGGAGGAGAGGTGGGTAGGGGATGGGGTCACTGGGTGATAGGCATTAGGAGGGCATATGATGTAATGAGTACTGGGTGTTATATACAACTGATACATCACTGACCTCTACCTCTGAAACTAATAATACACTCTATGTTAACTGAATTTAAATTTTAAAAAATAAAATAAAGTAAAATAAATAAATAAATAATTAATTAAGGTGAAGTCTTGATACTCTGCAGCAGACTAATCCAAAAAGACATCTCACAGTCCTTTTTTTTGCAGAGTCAACGATGAGACGGCAGACAGGACTTTTTTTTCTTCAGCAAAAACAAAACAGAACCCTAACTAAAGAAAGTTTCTGAGGTAACCAAATAGTTGCTCAAAGAAAGAAAAGGCAGTTTTAAAAAATAATTTCCTTAGTGTACTTAATACTCTTACTTTTCAAAAAGAAAAACTATTAGAAAAAGAAGTGTACCTGAAAATGGCAGGGTTGCAGACATGCTTTGGATCCAATGCTTCTCCCTGTATAAATTCATAGCACAGTCCGTTATTGAAGGTACAGTAGAGTTGCGGTGCACAGCCATGAGCCTGCAACACTCGGAAACTCTTCACTTCCTCATCTCGATCAACTAACAACTCAGTCTTATTGCCATAAATTCGCACCAGGACTACATCCTCCATTGTATTACTCACATAACAGCCAATAAGTTTATTTGTGATTCCATCTGTGAAAAGCTGCCAAAAAAAAAAAAAAAGAGGGAAAAAAGCGATTACACACATTTAACGAATGAAATAGCAGACAGCTTAAAATAATTAAATACTAATTAAAAGAAAATATCTACTTAACATTAAAAAACTTTTAAATACAATTTTGCCTAACGTGTATATAATTTTAATTCCACTTAAAACAAAAAGGAATGCTATAATTCCTATAACATTATGACTTTCTTGATCCAAAAGTGTTAATTATTCAATCTCCAGTAATTCCACACAATGTTTTGATACCTATTATATCTCAAAGTATGCTTGCCCTGCAATCATTGCAAATGTGTGTGCATACACACACAATCTCTCCTATGTCTAATAAACTGGAAAGTCTCTGAAGACAGAAACACTGCCCTCCTCCAGCATGACATATAACATATAAAAGGTCTTTAATAACGTTCCCAAGTGTAATATACAAATACAAGGCTACCATAAGTTACACATTATGGTAAATATCCAACTTATAAAAATTAATTTTAAATGTTAATTTTAAAGGTTTCTTAACACAACATGCATTAGAAATTGTTTAAAGCATTCAGGTTATAATTCAAACTTGAATGCTATGGCTAAGAAAAAAGCACAACCTTAATCAGAGGAAGTAAGAGCTTAAGGAGAGATTTCTACAGTATTTTCTTTTTTTTTTTAAGATTTTATTTTATTTATTTGTGAGAGCAAGAATGAGAGAGAGAGAGCACATGAGAGGGGTAAGGGTCAGAGGGAGAAGCAGACTCCCCGTCGAGCATGGAGCCCGATGTAGGACTCGATCCCGGGACTCCAGGATCATGACCTGAGCTGAAGGCAGTTGCTCAACAAACTGAGCCACCCAGGCGCCCTTACAATATTTTCTAAAAGGGACTTGGGGACTTTTCAAGAGCTTAAGTCAAGAATTGCAAGTTCTTTTTTATATCTGAGCACAAATGGTACATTTAAAAAGCAAACAGATGATTAGCAGTATTAGTTCAAATCCACTCAAAATTTGCAACTTTTGGGGCGCCTGAGTGGCTCAGTCGTTAAGCGTCTGCCTTCAGCTCAGGTCATGGTCCCAGGGTCCTGGATCGAACCCCACATCAGGCTCTCTGCTCAGCGGGAAGCCTGCTTCTCCCTCCCCCACTCCCTCTGCTTGTGTTACCTCTCTCGCTGTGTCTCTGTCAAATAAATAAACAAAATCTAAAAAAAAAAAAAAAGCACATGGTAAAATTTAATACTCATGTATGATGAAAACATTTGCAAACTAAGAATAAAATGAAAACTTCCTTGGAGCCCCTAGCTGGCTCAGTCCATAGAGCGTGAGACTCTTGATCTCAGGGTTGCGAGTTCGAGCCCTACATTGGGTGTAAAGATCACTTGAAAATACATACATACATAAGTTTAAAAGAGGAACCTTCCTTAATCTGACAGAGTATCCAAAGAAAACCTATGGGGCACCTGGGCGGCTCAGTCGGTTAAGCATCTGCCTTCAGCTCAGGGCATGATCTCAGGGTCCTAGGATCGAGCCCCACATCAGGCTCCCTACTTGGTGGGAAGCCTGCTTCTCCCTCTCTGACTGCCTGCCACTCTCCCTGCTTGTGCTCTGTCAAATAATTAAAAAAATAAAAAAAAAAAACAAAGAAAACCTACATATAACATCATACCTCATAATAAACTATTGAAAGTGTTCTCCCTGAGACAGGGAACAAGATAAGGGTGCCCACTCTCACCTATTTCAACATTGTGCTGGACGTCCTGGCCAGTGCAGTAAGGCAAAAATAATAAAAATTAAAATTAAAAATAATAATAATAATAAGTAAAAGAATAGGAAAGGAAAAACAAAACTATCATTATTTGCAGAGAAAAAGCAAAAAGCATACACATTAAACATAAGAATTAATGTTTGAAAAATTCAATACAGATCAATTGAATTTCTGTATACCAACAATCCATTTTTTTAAGTGATACCTTTTATAATAATATCAAAAAAAATCAAATTCCTAGGGGAGAAAAAAATCAAATGAAACATGCAAGATCACAACACTGAAAATTTAAAAAAGTCTGAGAGAAGGGGTACCTGGCTGGCTCAGCCTGTAGGGCATACAACTCTTTTTTTCTTTTTTTTTTAAAGATTATATTTATTTGTCAGAGAGAGAGAGAGAGCACAAGCAGGGGGGCAGCAGAGAGAGGGAGAAGCAGACTCCCCGCCGAGCAGGGAGCCCAATGCAGGACTTGATCCCAGCCCCTGGGAACATAACCCGAGCCGAAGGCAGACGCTTAACCGACTGAGCCACCCAGGCATCCCAGGGCATGCAACTCTTGATCTTGGGGCCATGAGTTCAAGCCCCCCACTGGGGAAAGAGTTTACCTTAAAAAAAAAAGTTTGAGAGAAATAAAAGGACTAAATAAATGGGATATACATTGTTTATGGATTTTAAGACAGTATTATTAATGATTTTACTTCTCAAATATCTATAGATTCCACAAAGTATCAAACTCTCACCCAGTTTTTTCTCTAAAAATTGAAAAGCTAAGTCTGCAACTTATATGACATTTTAAAAAGTCAAGAACAGTCAAGGCAATTTTAAAGAACAAAGTCAGAATCCTATACCAAGGACTATAGTAAGTATATCACATACCAACACCCATAGCAATTCATCAGGTTCTATGCCTGATGATGTGTGCTTTTTATTATCACTTATCCCAACAACAAATAGATTTTTATTAAAAAGAGTTAATGTAATATTCGGATCAGGAAGAATGTACTTTCACAGAATCTTCTCATTACCTTCAATTCATAGTAATCTTAGAGAAAATTCCCCAAAGCTTTATGGTTTTTCAAACTGAAAAGAGGGGCGCCTGGGTGACTCAGTCATTAAGTGTCTGCCTTCGGCTCAGGTCATGATCCCAGGGTTCTGGGATCGAGCCCCGCACTGGGCTCCCTGCTCCACGGGAAGCCTGCTTCTTCCTCTCCCACTCCCCCTGCTTGTGTTCCCTCTCTCGCTATGTCTCTCTCTGTCAAATAAATAAAATCTTAAAAAAAAAAAAAAAGAAAGAAATATACAGGTCCTTTGGCACTTTCTCTAATTTCTACCTTAGTATTTTTTTAATAAAGATTTTATTTATTTCTGAGAGAGAGCGTGCACGTACATGCACATGAGTAGGGGTAGAGACAGAGGGAGAAGCAGACTCCCCACCAAGCGGGGAGCCTGATTCGGGACTCAATCCCACAACCCTGGGATCACGAACCTGAGTCAAAGGCAGACACTTAACCGACTGAGCCACCCAGGCAGGCGCCTTCTACCTTAGTATTGTGAGGAGATACAGATACAAATAAAGATATACAGATGGTCCCCAACTTACGATGGTCTGACTTACAATTTTCCAACTTTACAATGGTGTAAAAACGATACACATTCAGTAGAAACCACACTTCTGAGTATGAATTTAGGGCTGGAAATATGCAGTATGATCCTCTCTCTTGATGATAGGCAGCAACAGCTGCAGCTCCCAAGCAACCACACCATCATGAGAGTAAACAACTGATACACTTAGAACCACTCTGTACCCATACAACCATTCTGTTTTTCACTTACAGTACAGTATTCAATAAATTATATAAAATATTCAAGACTTTATTATAAAATATGCTTTGTGTTAGATGATTTTGCCCAACTGTAAGCAAGTATCGGTGGTCTTGGCATACTTAAGACAGGTTAGGCTAAGCTAATGATGTGCAGTAGGTTACATGTGTAAAATGCATTTTCGATTTAGGATATTCTGACTTACAATGGGTATTAGGATGTAACTACATCATAAGTCAAAAGATACACATATACATATGAAATGAAATTAACTTTCTTAGCCTAGGGGCGCCTGGGTGGCTCAGTTGGTTAAGCGACTGCCTTCGGCTCAGGTCATGATCCTGGAGTCCCGGGATCCAGTCCCGCATCGGGCTCCCTGCTCAGCAGGGAGTCTGCTTCTCCGTCGGACCCTCCCCCCCTCATGCTCTCTCTCTCTCTAATTCTCTCTCTCAAATAAATAAATAAAACCTTTTAGAAAAAAAATTTCTTAGCCTATTACATGCATTACATGCATACAGATATCACCACCAAAGGAGCAAAAAAAAATCTTAGGTATTACAATAGTTTGTGGACCATCAAAACTCAACCCTACAAAATCCTATTCTTTGGTACATAATTTCTGTTTGGTAGAAATCAATAAAATTTTTAATTAATTTAAGCTTTCTGTTTAGAGAGTAATTATTAAAAGGGTTGAGAAACAACAGCCTAGAACATAGACATATTCAATAAATGTTTGTTTATGCACAGACTGACTGTAAAATACCCTGGAAATGACCAATTTGTAGAATGAGAACACTATGGCCTAGATAAGTTCCCTTCCTTATCCAAAGTTACACAATGGCAGAACAGGTTAAAAAGCTGGTATCATGACTCTTAATCTGTTTCAAGGATATCAAGACCCACCCTCAAGTTCACTAGCATGATCCTAGACTCACTGTAATATTGCTAAAGCATTATTTGGGGAAAAAAATAAAGAAGGGGTTAGAGATGATAAATCCCTGATGCTAGGTATTTGCCAAATTACCCGGAGTATTAAACAGCAGGCATGTTGTCATCTGTTACAGGAGGTAAAGGTAAATGAAACCTAGCAATGGCAGATCTAAACCCAGGAGTTTAGTCACTGAATCCACAATAAAATGCAAAATGAGAAACCGGCTAAATGCACAATTCCCTGGCTATTGTTAGCATAGTACCTAGAACAGAAAGCTAAAGACACTTAGGGCAGACTGTGACGTTACACAGACCCAGATTCCAATTGGTCCAATGCAACATCAAGCTGCTAACCTCAAAACCAACACAAAAGAGAAAAATCACACTGAACAGTAGATTTACAGCTGCTTACCAAAATGATTCAGGTGGCAAGGAGAAAAAAAAATCAGGAAACTACTAAAACCAGGGGATACAGCATAAAAGTTGTCT